CGGGAGCGTTGCGGAGCGGGGTGCGAAGGGCGGAAAACGGTGTGGCGTTGCGGGGCGTGTGTGGTACGGGGCGGGGCGTATGTGGTGTGGTGTGGTGGCTAGCGAAGCGCGCCAGGCCGCACGCGTGACCCCTAGCGCCGCCTGCGGTGGCGAAGCTCTCTGCACGGGAAACCTCAACAAGATGTTTTGGCTGCATCGCGTTTCATTTCCTATTTTGACCCGCGATCCTGTGTGTGGGGAAGCGACGCCTGCTGTTTGCGCTCCTGTTGGAGATGTGCCTAGGATAAAATTCAGGGACTATGATACGCGTTAGGCCCCCATTATTGTAAGTGAAAAAATAATAGTGTGATAAAATTTTAATTTTGTAATAGCAAAAGTATGTAGCATGCAAAAAAAAGTGAGTTTCGAACAGTAATAACTTCGAAGTACATAACATTTGATGAGTTTTAAGATGTGTACATATTGAAAGTCATCAAAAAATGGTATTTAAAACTATTGTTTCCATTATATTATTAGTAATCGTGAATTCAAGTGTCCGCCCAACTGGACAAGCGTCATCTTGAAGAAAAATTAATTATCAAGAAGTTTAATATCAAGGTTTAGGAATCCCCTGTCGCGCTTCAGAGCATGCATCATCAAAAAGGTGCTAGATGTGGCGGATGCACGGTTTTGGTGAACGAAATGAATTTTGTCTCGTGGGGAAGAGCAGGTTGCATGAAACCGACAGTTTATTAATTTCGTTTCTTCTCCAGGTATAATAAGTCTTTCCAGTTTTATAAACGTACGATATTTTATAAAATGGCTGTTTGTGACAAAATATACTATGTTTAGTTCATGTTCTATATATAAAATTAGAGATTCTCGGTTATTATTTGAACTTTTAGCAACACTTAGTGAAATTACGGAAGACTAGCAGTTTTTCCTATTAATTAATTATCTGATTTATAAAATTATCCTAATAATTAAATGTCCGATTAAAAGGTTGTAGCGTGACCAGACATTTTATTTCATTGTCTCTCCTGTTCAATTCACCCAATGTCTGTTGTCCCGTTTTCTGGCTGCACTCTTCAATTATTTGAATACAAGTCAAACACACGTAACAATAAAAATTCTCATAAGTGGCGACTAAATGTTTGAGGAGAATTTGAAACATTTCTGGCAGGGTAATGGTCCTTTCCAGGAAAACTCAATTAAATATTAACATTGTTTGTTTTTCAGAATTCGTAATGCGTCCAGTAGCCTCGATTAGCCTCAATTCCAGCAGTACTGTCTGAAATAATCTCTTTTAAAACATTGGAATATTTGTGTCGATATTGGGTTTTGAATTCTCATATTGTGGGTGATGATAGGTGAAAAAAAAACAACAACAAAATTTTTCAAGAGGAAGGAAAACACGTTTTAATGTTGATGTGCAGTTGGCAGAGTTTAAACATACTACACTTTCTATAATATAACAGTATTAAATATTTATTTATTGCAATATTTTTCAGAAAACTCCTTACGAAAACTTCCCATGCGCTTTTACCACATACGAGAAATTTTATCATCAATCAATTGGAAACGTCACAAGGGATAGTTTTATTTTCTATTTTTTTACCACAATTTCTAGTTTTACTTAAAAAAATTAATCGAACTAAAGAACAAGCAAATTCTGATATATTGGAACAAAAATTTAAAAATCGACATTTCGTCACACCTGAGGTTGACCAGCATCAATGACGCTATGCAGTGTTGAGTAAAGTTGATTAGAAAGGGTACCATAGCTTTCAGTAGGAACGCCATCACTACTGCAGCATCCCAGAGGTTCTATTTAAAGTCCAGGATATGCTGGGTTTTCGAAAATAGTTACACAGCGGTGCCGAATTCAGCCACAGTCTGGAGGAGAATTCTAGTGTCTGACTGAGTTGGTCTGTAATTTTTCGTGGTTTCTTCTATAAATCCGAAGTGAACGCACGAATGACTGACCGCATGCTGTTTCCCCACCCTTTCCCCTCCTCACCCCTTATACACGCTTACACCTACGTTCACTTCACAACCACACGTATCAGAAGTTCAGGCGAGAGGTTAGAACGTGCCTGCATGGGCAGGGCTTTGCTGAAGAGATGCGAGTAGGGTAGAAAGTTAGGTCGGCACCGAATCTCATGTTCTAATGGGTGGGCAGCGGTAGCTCTGCAGATTAGTTTACACGTTCGGAATCAATACTCGTTCATTAACAATATAACATACGTTTACACGTGACACTTTACCACTCATACATTTTTCGAATGAAGTTTGTTTTGGCAATGGCTGGTACGAATTACGGGCTGACCAATAATACTGTTAATGTTTTAGTATATTCTTCAAATGCCACAAAGAAATCGAATTATATAGATAATGCAGAACGCACTTCCATATCATACTTGGAATTTTATTTTTTAATTGTTTTATTTGCACAATAAATAACAGGCTATGACAAGATCTAGAATTGCAGATCTGAAATTTGCTCTTTGAAGCAAAACTTTTGCTCGCACAGTTACACAGCGCAAGTAATTAACATTATCATTACAGAAGCTTGCAGTATTACTCTTCATATTTAATGCGCAAGATACGGACATGGAAATTTTAAATTAAAAAAAATCTTCTGCAGCTGTTTTACTCTATTTTTTTATACTTTTATAAATATGATTCTGGAAAGACGATTTTATTATTTCATTTGCAAAATGTTTCCAACTAATACAGGTGTGTCTGAGTTGTGACCTTTTCTAGGCATAAATACATATTTTTTCATTAAAACTTCATTATATCCACAATTTTCAAAACTTTATGAACGTATTTTTACGTGAAGACACTTTCATCGTAGTTTACTCAGAAGCCTGCGAGCACCATTTTATCCTAATGTCTTAATTTACACGTAGGAGAACCGTATGTACCCGCTTTATCGCATGGATGTTCGAACGTGTTACTTTGCCGAGTGACCGCCTAGTCCTCGGACGCGTTCACACTGCAGGTGATTTTTCCCCCTAACGACTGACACCCCTGCACGTGTTACTGCGTTGGCGCAAGGATTCCGCGCTAAATGCATTCAGTACGCGAACATCCGTCTCCATCGAAAGCTGCACTGAGACGGCTTCGGTGGCAAATCTGTTTCCTCTTTCCCCGCAGGTCTGTCGTGAATTACTGAACAAAACCGTACCATTCGTTTTGGAATTCTGAGCCAGGGGGTGCTTCAAGTTCGTGATCTGTCATTGACATCAGCGAGTCCTTTACCCTGGCATGGCCTCTCCCACTCTCTTAAAGAGAGATTTATGGAAAGGCATCCAGTATTCAGATGATGATGGTGATGATGCTGATTGTTTACTGATTTCGGGCGAGTCAACTGCCAAGGTCGTTAGTCCCTTAATGTAGTGCATGTTCCCCCTTGAGAAGTAACGGTGACCTTCCCCCGATGAATGGTGAGATTCGGCGCCGACCTACCGTCAGCTAGCAGAGTTGTCCCCAACCAGGTATCTCCCACAAGCGGGGCACCGCTCCGGCTGGGACATGCTCGAAGCTTCCGACTAGTCTCCTGGCATGTGTGGTAGTACAGTGTACGTAAGTGTAAGTGCGTATAAGTAAGGAGAGAGGATTGGAGAAGGTAGAGGGGAGAAAGATTGGGTGCGGTCCATGGGCCGTTTGTTAGAGTTAGAGGAAAACTGCCGATGAGAGCAGCCGACAGCTAGAATTCCGCTCCTGACTGAACTCGACTTAGATAACAAGCCACAGTCGAAAATCGTGCAACTGTCGGGACTCGAATCTAGGATGATGCACTGCAGTCGCATTAGTTGGTGCCCTAAACCAGATCCTGGACCAGTATCTAGAATAAAACTATAAATCCTGTAGCAATTTTTTCATAAGAACTACGATCTTAATGCGCTTGAAAATGAATTTTCACCTGTATGTGAACAGGAAGTAACTGTTTCAGAACATAATTATTCTTCACAAAGTTTCCCTGATTTTCCAGTTTCTTCTCAATCCCCGCGTAACTATTTTCGCCCCTCGGGGCGCACAGCGTCTCCACAGCCTTGCGACGTGAATTTGAGGGAGTCAAACTTGCGTTCGTGAAGCTTAATAATGTGCCCCGAGAAATTGTAGTCTTCGTCTGCACTTGATATTAGAGGGTGTTAAGGTAGCTTCGCTTAACTGCTCCCGTGGGGGAATATAGAATACAAAGGCGAGGAAGAGTGATGGAATAAACAGAAAGAAAGTTTAAAGAGGAAAACAGTTTTTTCTATCACTATTCCAAACCCTATTTCTATTACTTTCTAAACATGTTATTGACTATGGATTCAATTTAAAATTAGTATTTTATGACTGTTATTTTCCAAGGCCAGTGCTAGAAACATTCTTCGGTGGCGAAGGCCACCATGGCATTTATGTAATTTTTACAGTAGACCAGTCTAAAGATGTATTGCTCTGTATATAAATTGAAACAACTTTATTTTTCTGATTCTACTTCGCACTTTGGGCTTATTAATTTTATACGTAGTATTCGTATAGAAATATCAATTATATTGGAACAATTGAGTTAAAATAGGCCAAAAATTGACAGAGTACTATTCTTTGCAGCGAGCAGTAATAACAAAAGATCATGCACTAAATGTTAGTACCATTGTAAAACAAAGCTGCGGAACGTGCTATTTTTTTCAAGAAATGAGCCATTTAAAGTATGACAGCTGATCGAAAGGCCGCTACACTCTCAAATTTAATATTTTTAAATGGCTGCACTCTGGGGATGGAAGAATGCAAGGACAGGAAAGCTATCTAGCGCAACAGCGCAACATCCTGCTGCAAAATGAAACAAAATGCATCCTACGCACTAAAACATTAGGTTAGACCAATTAATTCGTAGGGTCCAGTTTTTATTTAATTTTGTTTATTTATTATATTTTGAAAAGTTCTAATTTACAAAATCTAAAATTTATCCCCATAATTTCATCTAAAATACACAAATTAAAGTTCAGATGATTAATTATACAATTTTATAACTTCATTTTCATATATATACTTACAGATGAGTCATTTGAGATGGAAAAAGGATACAGGTGATTTCTCCCTAATTTGATGAACAAATTTTTCTATAGCGTTTTCTTGAGACAAGTTTCGTTTCTGCGCAGTAGTTTCTTGTCTTTTTTTTCTTCAGTAAGGTTCAGTAGGTTCAGCATAAAGCAGAGCCGAGTATATTTCTAATTGAGAAATATACTTATGGGATTACACCTGTTTAGGTGTTTTAGGACATCAGCTGATGTCACTACAGTACCTCTGACCGGGAGATCCTAGAGTTCCACTCCCGACGGTGGCAGGATTCCCCACATTGGCTAGGTCGGGTGCAGTCTTGTCTAGAGGAGAAATTTAGCGGCCGGCTACTCTGCTCGGTATTTTTTCCCGTGGTGTCTCCGATAAACACCAGACGAATGCGAGAGCAATATCTTAACTAACGGACCGCGCACGATCATGCCTTTCTCTTCTTTGTTTTAACCTTGCCCCTTACATATTACACACTTTCATTTCCACGCACTAAACTACCACACATTCCGGGAGACCAGTTGGGAGCTTAGAGCTTGTCCCACCCGGGGCGGTGCGCAGCTGTTGGGAGATACCAGGTTGGGGAAATCCCCGTAGCTGACGGGAGATCGGCGCCGGATTTCGCCATCAATCGGGGAAAGAACACTGCCCTCTCCCGCCATACAAATATGCACTAAACTTGCGGCAATAATGGCAGTTGCAGTTATCTCGCCCGGAAATTCTAATCATTCGATTTCTCTATGACTGCGACAAAACATTACTTGACAACACAGTAGCATGATGAATTGCTGCTGATAAGAGGCATGTGTTATACGAGTCATTTCGTTTTACGAATTTTACCACCATGTTAATTAGCCAACATCACTTTCGACCTATCTATGTATTCAGGTGATCAGTCTTCACGATTTATGTAAGTGAATCACGAGTCTTTGAAACGCCTAATTTTGTAACATATTTTTATAACAAAATAAATAAGACGACCTAGGATGAAAAGTCATAAAAAGGTCGATGAAGTCGTGAATTAGAACCGAGGCCCGGAAACTGACTGCATGAACCGCTGACTGGATTCTGCAGAAAGCTGCCGTGTAAGCGTTCAACGTAGCTGGTTAACTTACAGTAGCATTAGTCGTAGAAAAGTACTTCGTGAAATGATGTAATGGGTATTAATACACATGAGCTTAAAGATATTTATTCGTTCCATGTAAGTATCGTTATTTCAAACAAGTGTGTTATC